CCTCCTATGGTGGTTTACACAGATCGGTGATGTAATGGGAAGCACATGAAGGCCACACACACACACACACACACACACATGAATGCAAACATGATGCTCACACACACACACACACACACACACACACACACCGCACTTATACCACCACATAATTACACACATATACTGTACGCACACCCATTTACACAAACTCTGGATTCCCCCTTTTCCAACAGCCGTGCTGCTTCACACACACACACACACACAGACTCACACACACACACACACAGACTCACACACACACACACACACACAAACACACACACACATACACCCCCCCCCCCACAGACGCACACACACACACACACACACACACACACAAGAAAATTCAAATGCCTAAACAAAGACACAGCCACTTTTACTGGGCGTTAATGCACAGGGCCCCCTGCTGGTGCACTTCGTCACAGCGGGTGAGTGATGAGGGCTGGCCCGCGGCCCACGGCCCACGGCCCGCGGGTCGTCAGAACCACCCAGGAGACCCCCATCAGGGAGAGTGACTAACTTCACTCTGTCTTTTCTTCTCTCCCAGCTGTGTCTTCAAAGGAGCCTTTGATGTGGGAATTAAAAAGAGCAAGTGTGTCAACATCTGCCTCGTCCAACCACAGTCACTTACCCCCCCCCCACCCCCCCCCCCACCCCCCCGCTCTCTACTGTTGACCCAGGAAAACAGAGGTTGACCCCATGTTTGACCACAACAACTCACTGTGTGTGTGTGTGTGTGTGTGTGTACACGACCCTCCACTAACGATGTTCTGACCACAGCATGAGTCTCTGTCTGTGAATAAGGGTCTCCTCAGATCACACCCAGACTCTAAAGGACAGGGGTCTGTCTCTGTCTGTGTCTCTGTCTGTGTCTCTGTCTGTGTCTCTGTCTCTGTCTCTGTCTGTGGAACAGGAGGACTGGAGACCAAGACTAGATGATGAAGACTAACTCTCACTAACTAACTCTCACTAACTAACTCTCACTAACTAACTCTCACTAACTAACTCTCACTAACTAACTCTCACTAACTAACTCTCACTAACTAACTCTCACTAACTAACTCTCACTAAAACTAACT